TCGCTTATTTGATGTTTCTTTGGACCCCGTACTTCCTGTCACCATTTTTCGCTCAAGGCAGTGGTGTGACCGTGACAGGTGCACGTTTTTTTTGTAACACATTATAAACTTCCTATTCATAATGCTAGTTTTAGGTGTTGATTCACGATCTGGTTTATATGGCATTGGCGGTTTATCAGTTGGAAATGTCGTTGTGTCTATCGATGATTGCCCGATACGAAAACAAGAAGACTGGAGGGAATGTGTACGACATCTGGAAAAGGAAAAACATGGACAATGCGTTCCGCGTACTACAGTAGAATCGTCGCTGGCGACTAAAGTAAGGACACATGTTTGCTTATTGTTAATGCGTTTACTTTTTGCGCAGGGTAAACGCAAGCTAATCGATTTGGGAACAGTATACCCTTCTCAATGTTTTCGTCTTGATTTGAAATTAGTAAAAATTTGATAAAATCATGCGCTACCGAGTAAATAATATTTCGGCACAGTATTTAGCATCATACATTGTTGCAAAAACTTCGTAATGAGCAAGTTCTGAACATCTGAGCATTCTAGCAGTGCTTGATATTTCATCATTCAACAATTCCACTTCTTATCCTTCTTGTGGAACTATCTTTCACCTATTATACCACTGCGAAAAGTGGTATAATAGGTGAAAGATAGTTCCACATGAAGGAAAGAAGTGGAATTTCAATTTGTCTGTCATTTTTCATTTCTGCAAAAATTTATTTCGCAGAATGTTTGCTTAAAGTGCTTTCACTGATCTGTATGTCCATTCCCCTTATTTACAGACATCACTGTCTTTGGACGAGCTACACTGCTGTGATGACTTTACTAATATCACACAAGCCCATATGTGTTTTGAGTCACTGATAGATGTGACCAGTAAAGAATTTGTCACCAAGGCAATCTCACTGAATCGAGTACTACGTGTTGGAGTTGTTGGGGTAAGACATCACTTCCTATGTTATCCACTGTTTTGATGATACTAAATTATTTGAATGTGACTTCAGCCAGTTCAAGAAATTGCACGTGAGAAGCGGAAGCGTAAAAAACAGTTTAGTTGCCTCTCAGCACAATATGTTACCTCTCAGCCTAGTTGTACCAATACAACGAGTTGTGCTAAGGTGGGTTGGTCTG